GTTTCGAATATGGGGAGAAGCTGGGCCACAGCAAAACTGGTTAAACGTGGACATGTACGACATCGCAGCAACAACAAGTCTATTGGTTCTAGCAACAAAAGCTATGAAGGTCAGGGTGATTGAAACGCAGGAATTCACTATCTTCTGTCCAGCAGTCCAGATTGACAACCTTGAGATAGACCCAGTGGAATGGGCATGGAATCTAGGGGGGTCAGCACAGCAAGTAGCACTGAGAACAAGCAATCTGCACTACACTACTCGACTACCGTCTTCACCCAAATAGAACGCCCGGTATCTGGGCGGAAAGTTGTGCCAAATACAGCTATAATGACCAGGTGTTATATTTGGGTGAAGACGGTAGGCTACAGGCTAAGGAAACACTGACAGGCACCGGACGATCAGCAACAACAGCGATGGCAAAAACAGATGAATATCACCCCGGGACAGATACAAGAATTCCTGTGGACAAAGCTGGAGGCCATACGACTGGGCAAAGTCAGAAGTCTACAGTCGCTATGCATCTACTTGGCACTACCAGTAAACGTTTGGCTCAACACGAGAAGGCGCCAGGAAGACCGCAGACATCATAACGAACTCTGTAAAGTCTTCACAGAAGGTCATAAGGAAACAGTGAGACACTGCCTGCTGGACTGTAAAGGGGCACAACAAATTTGGCTGGAGGCGATGAACTTATGGCAGGCGATCAGTACTGAGTCTACTGACCCCTTGCCTAACAAAGACATAACCCAACTGCTGGGAATACAGACAATGCGAAAATGGTCAGCGTTTGAGAATGGGTGTTTCCGGAAGCTGCAACAATATGCAATGTGGAAGATTTGGAAGAGCAGATGCAAGGCGCCAATGGAAGGACAGCCGATGCACGGAAAGGAAGCGCGGGCAGAGCTCAGACAACTGCTAAGGATGGACATCACAGCACACAATGGGCTACAGCATGTAAGCGCATAAATAGTGCCCTGGAGAAAGCCCGGCAAATACGAGAGGCTTTCAGCAACAACATCATAGGAAGTGGGAAGGTGGCTGAACTACAGGAAAATAAGATCGAATGGAAATGGTGGCAGACAACAGAAGACATGGCCACGCCCACCAACCCAACACAGCAGCAAGAACCGGAGGCCTAAAAGGCGACAAGGGCAAGGGGGAGGGCTGGGGGTTAGGGGTTCTAGCAAGAACGAAGCTAGGGTTTAGGGCTTCAGAGGCTGTGGGATGTTTCAAAGCCAGAGTCGACTTTCCTAAAGGTTGAAGGATTGGGGGGCGCTTTGTGGATTGCTGTTAGCCCAGTAGAATGCTGTTTCCTGGTTATAAAATTATAAGCGAAACTGTCTAATGCTACCGGGATAACTCCGGGTAGAACTGTGAGGTCCCCGGCCTCGAATTCCAAGCTATTAATGAAAAAACAAAAACAAAAAAAAACAAAAAAAAACGAAAAAAAAGAAGGGAAAAAAAGGATTACTGCTTGCATTCTTTTCTCTGCGATTCGCCCAGTAGTGTCATTGAGTGGCTTTTCCAAACGTCGAAAAATAGGATCACTGCTTACATTCTTTTCTCTGCTATTCGCCTACTAGCTTCATTCCCATCCCAGGGCATTATCGAGTATGTAGCATTCAGATATGGACTGCGTGGTTTATGTGGAAACACTAATCAGTTAAGTTTTGGATCCTGTTCAGTAGAGTTTCGGCCAAGATCTTAGATATTGCCCGGTAATGCCTCTGATCTTCTTTGCCTACCCTCTTGTAAAGAAGGGTGACCACAATCAGGCTTAGTAGTCCTCCCACTCTCCCCCTCCTGGCAGTCGTTATAGAAGTTCGGCAGGTCATCCCCCAGCGTTGGTCAGACGTGCTTCTGAACTTCCGTCGCCATGCTGTCCAGTCCTGTTGTTATCATCCATCATCTCGGTTCCATCTTTGCTTCATCATGAGTCAGCGGTTTGTCCGATGCCTCTGCAGGTCCAGGGCTTTCCCTTGCCGGGTTCACTAGTAATGGGGCTTGGGTGGGGGTTATGGATGAGTATAGTTTAGGTGTAGAATGGTCTCATTTCCTCGACGACGATCTCGGTCCCCTGCCACCTGAATGTTCCCTTTTCCTATGGCTCTCGGCTTTCTGTTTTCTTTTCCCGGTGTTCTACTGCTGGTTGTACTGCCTGGTTTTATGGAAACACTGTTGAAGCGCTTTCTCACGTCCAGGATGGGGTGGTCTGCCTGCACCATGCCATGCCTTTTGATCCTCAGGCAGAGTTGGCGGTTGCGGGAGTTGATGGACAGCAAGCGGCTGTCCTTGCGGCTACATTTGCCCTGGTGTTTGTTGCTGAGTGGGGAGACAAATCATTTTTCTCAACAATAGGTATGTCCTTCAGCGTTTGATGCACTTCTCTACTGCACTCAATACAAAATCTCAATCTCTCTCTCTCTCTCTCTCTCTCTCTCTCTCTCTCTCTCTCTCTCTCTCTCTCTCTCTCTCTCTCTCTCTCTCTCTCTCTCTCTCT